AAACCTCGGGTCTGGTCCAAAACTGGATATGAATATTTGACCTGAAGTCCATCAACTTAAGCGCAACGACTGCACACTATTCGCATTCTGCCCACAGTTGGTCTGCAGTATATAAACAGTGAAGGGTTTGGCAGATTTGCACCACGGCTACTAACTGCAACAATTTCTGATAAAATTAAGGAAAACTTAGCATTAAAAGTTGGGATATATACATCAGAAAACGCATGGTCAACGCTGGCGAATCAACTGTAGAGCCGAGCTCTTCGCATCTGCCTCATAAAGCATCAGAAACAGCAGCAAAATGTGCTTTTGGGCTTCTAGTTGCTACTTATTTTGGGAGTATGGTGAATCAGACGTCAAATAACATATACTGCTAGGGGTACTACACGTTTGTAGGACAGGTATTACCTGGTTTATTCCTCAGTAGTATACTGTCTTCATGCAAGTGTATATTATCCTGACACTTGACTCCAACTCCTTCCCTTAATAGTTTGCAAAATTATTAACTTAGTGATCATATCTGGCGTTGACATACTGTTGGAAGACTCATTGAGGACAGAAACCTTCACAGTTACGGCATATAGCAGCGGAAACTTTGGCGAAGCATGCGTCTTGGCTTCTAGCTTGTACCTCTGTTGGAAATCCGATAAGGCCTTTATCATGTTAAAATTATACCATTTACATGTAAAAGTGGTTATTCCAAAGAAGTCGGTTGTCTTCAAATCAAGTACCAACTGAAATTTCGCAACTGACTCTTTAACATAATGTTGCCCCCGTCGTGAAATATGGTTTGAATTGGAGAACGCAGCTGCCGTAATTTAGTATTTGGAGATGTGATTTCGTTGTCAGGAGTATACAGGAATGCGTAGTGCTGGGGTGGTGGGGGGGGGACGGGTGGAACAGAAAACTCTGAGAGTCCTAACTATTTTCCACTGCGCTGGGTTTTACTTTTCTCCAAAAACTCACTGGCTTCCTGTGCATGCCTAGTGAACCTTCTCAGGAGATTAGAGCGGAATCCTGCCTAATTCGCTCCATAGTTATCTTTTTTCAATCACATTACTGTGATGCTTGGATAAGATTCTCGCCGATTTCGTGGGTTGCATTCACTGCTTGGTCATCCTGCCTTGTGACTGGAGTCTATTTTCTTTTCCCGATACGATAGAAAATCTCCGAGGCTCTGAATCAGGAGAGCGTCGAGGGCTTTACTGCGGCGGTTGCCGAGTACGACAGCATAACTCGACTGGAGCCCTGGACAACGGAGATGCTGTTGAAGTTGAAGAAGACGATTTCTGATGAGGAGGACATTACCTAAACAGAGGGCGGAACTTCTCTTGTCCACAGCTTTTGCTACTGGCACGCTCAGTCATTCCGCCTCCACCGGCTCCTCCACTGTCTCTCCACCAGGCCAATGTTTCCTCCCTCTATCTCTATTTCGACGCATACCACGGCCTTATTTATACGCCCCTCCATCCTCTACACACTGATGTGATATATTACTTGCGTGTTCTGAGACCATAAACCCGAGCCCCTCGACCCTCGCCACGGAGGGGGGGCGCTGAATTGGCAAGTTTTGACTATATGCAGAGTGCGTCTGTGTTCAGTGCTCCCTCCAAAGGTGCTTATGCCTGTATCATGACACAGAGTGACCATTTCTCCACTCCATATTTTTACCTCTGATTATACTGCTCGTTCGGCCCTAGTTCCTTCCAGTAGTTTCTCTCTCCCTCGTACTCGATTTCTCGCTCCGTGGATGCAGTCTAGGTTTCGACGTTGTGTGCTGTGAATTCCTGAAGCGTTTATCTTCTAGTTACCAACCGCTCTCCATCCCCCCTCTCTCTCTCTCCTTAATCACATCTTTCTCTCTCTTTTTTTTTTATCCAAGTTTAACTTCACCACGTTTTCTCTGATGCCAGGTATAAAAATATGCAACATATAGGAAGAGTTTTAAAATCAATCTTAACACAACAGCCTGGATCGCGTAGAGCAGTACCTGTGAATCTATCTTGTCGTGTTGCATGACCGCGGCTTGACCATCTGATTGATTGAAAAGAAAAGGAGTTGAGCATCAATTAGAAATGTCTATCAGCAG